TGCAACTATTGGCGGCTGGAGCGTAGGTTATATTTGTTTCCTAATAATGTTCGCAGGCTACAGCTACTCCAACGGAATAGTCCAAAAGCACATACACCTTTAGGTAAGCTTTTCTTTTAGGGTAAGTACAACTAGGTAAACTTAATTACGTGAAAAGTACGAAGTTTGTGTTATTAATGAAGAATTTTCTAAGCAGTAGTGTGTTTAACTTGTTTAATGATTTTTATTTTGGGTCTCTTGCAGGCTACCCGGGGCTAGACCTGTGGTAGTTCTTCAATAACAAGCTACATCTCTGTCTTCCACCCATGCCTTAGTCACAGAATAAGTCATGCACCACCCAATGCGATAACAATCTCCTATTTCTACCTGCTAGATAAATTCAATCTTCAAAATGGGATTTGAATGTACTAACTGTGATCTTTTGATTCCTCTGTCAAATAAGTTTTTATGTTTCATATGAAGTTCTCCATTCTTTCTGCCCTGTTCTACCTCACATGTTGCCTATTTGGCATCACGTAGAAGGTAAATAGTATGTGGTGAAATCAATTGTCAAGCATGGGTAATTTGATGGCTGTACTTGCAAAGAAAATGGAAAATGTCAGGTCACAATCTTTGTGCCCAAAAATTTAAGCAGCGCCAGTTTCTCTGTCTTTTTTTATTTTTTATTTTTTTTATGTGTTATGGTGATTGGATCCTTTCCATGTGTGGCTTAGCTCTTGAAATAATTTGACTGAATTTTGATGCATGATCAGCAGTAGGACTGATGGTTGCTTAGGAATTTATCACCCATATTCCATGACATTGATGGCAATATATAATGGAAACCCACGGGATTGGCTTTAGTTAAGACCAATGGTATTAATCCTTTGGGCCCATCTCCTAGGGATTTATTTTGGTAAGTATATGATGCATGTATGATATGGTGAACATTGGAATAGGGTGGGAGGATTAAGCAGATGCTTTGGGAAGTTTGGATATCTCCTAGTTAGCTTTCAAAAAAAAAAGATAAGAAAATGAGAAAGTACTGGACCCTAACTGTTTTGATTGAGACTTGATTCAACTCCTAGGAGAAATATGAGACTTAAGCAGGATGGGTTGTTGTAAATATGCCATAAATTCAAGGAGGTTTGAGTAGTTGTAACTGGAAGTTATCTCAACATGTAGCTTTGAAAGAGGAGGGGCCTCTTTTGTCTCCAAGATGGGGTGCACATGTGACCAGCAATGCAATCAACATATACACCACATAGCCTCTCTCCCACCATTATGATCGATCAGCACTCAAACAGTGGATGGGTGGGTGGGGGTCTTCCTTCACATCATGACAAAGAACGATAGAAATAATAAATAAGAAAAAGAAGAGAAAAAGTCATGGCTTCACCCCACTCCTTGTGTGATGAAATACAAAACCCTAAATTTGCTTAGTAATCAAATTGAAACAAGGGTGAAAGAAAAAGCAAGCACAAATCTTATAAAGAAAATACGATGGGATTAGAAATGCATGGATTAGCCATCATATATGCCATGGAGATGTCAATGCGCTAGCTTACGTTTAACATTGATTGCTGGCTTATTTTGAGGTTGAAAGAATTGCCATTTCCTGTCTTTGTCATGGAAACTTGACTAATTGCTTTCATTTTTTTTTTCTTTTCTTTTCTCCCAGTAGATTTGAGTGGAATACTCCTCCAATAGTTTAAAAGGGGGGGGACAATAATCATGGTAGCTTGAAAACTTTTGAAATTGATAATTGAAGCAACTTTGGACTAAATTACCCCCCAAGTAATTCATTCTAATTAATGATGACTAGTTTCTGAATCTCTCTCTCTCATCATCATCTGGCATGCACTGACTGGATTTGACCGGTCACCGTGTTGTGGCTCTTCATGTAACCAAAAGGTTTTGAGGGTCCTAAATAAATTTACCGGGAAGCCAAGCCAGCCCTTGTAAGCTTCTGCAGGATTCTACGTTTTTTCCAGCCTTGAGCAGAGGCAGAGCTTCAATGGAAAAGAAAATAAGTAATGTCAACCCCGTGTGGTGTGCACGTTACTCTGTTTGTGTGTGTGTGTGTGTGTGTGTTTTGCACCTACCTTAATAAAGAAAGAAAGTAAGGAAGAAAGAAAGAAAAAAAGAAATAGGGTGGGCATCTATCTATCTTTGTCTGTCATCGGAGTGATTTAAGGACCTTATTATTATTATTATTCCTGTCATTTTCCTGTGCTGTTTATTCTTGTCCACTCAAACAACTTAAAAAAGGTCATCTTGCGTTGACAAATGTACATTGCTGATTGTTTCCTTACCCATTAAACAATACAATAAAGCAACCACCTGGTACCCAAATCACTCCCCGGTTCCTTCTCATAGCTTGCCTTAAATAAGTTATCAACACATGGTGCTCAGGTGATGTCCCAAGGACAACCCAATTTCCAACTGACCTTTGCTGTAAGCCAGGGTGTGTGTAATACAGAAATTTAAAAAAAGGTGGGGGATATAGGCGATATTTCCAAGAGTAATGATTGATTGATTGATTGAAGGGTTGGTTTTATGGGAGATTTTCAAAATATAAAATTTATTTTATTTTAATCCCTAATATTTAAATTGCATTATTTTAGTCTCTAAAATATAAATATATTTTTATATAAACTTTCAAGCAGATAATATCTAAATTACTAATAATTTTTTATTATAAACTTATCACGTAATACCTAAGTATGGATAAAAAAATAATTTAGATAACTCTTGATTAAATTTTAGTCAAAAGAGTTAAATTATACAATTTTGATTATGAGCTATTCAAATTTTGATTAATAGCTACCCATGTTACATATTTTTGGTCAATACCTACTCAAATTTTAGTCAAAAGTTACCCAAATTTTAGTCAAGATTATCCAAATTATTGTATTTATATCTAAAATCAAATAATGAATATAGATAAGAAAGAAAATGAATGTAAGCATCGGTTATAGGGGGAGTGAACAATAGTAATAATGGTGGTGGTGGGGGTGGCGACAGTGGCGATGTCAGTGGTGGGTGGTAGTGGTGATGGTCGTGAGGGGTGGTGGTGAGGCGATAGGGATAATGGTGATAGGGGTGATGGTTGGACAGTGACGATGGTAGTAGGGTGGAGGTGACAATTGTGATGGTGATAATGGTGGTGGGGAATGGTAGTGGTTGGGTGGTAGGGGTGCTAGTGGTGGTGGGGTGGCGGCAGTAATAATGACAACAATGGTGATAGTGGTAGTAGTGGTAGTTGTTGTGGCAGAGGTGGTGGTGGGGGTGACGACGACAGTGGTAGGACAGTGACGGTGGGGTGTAATGGGGATGGTGGTGGTCGGGTGTCAACAGTGGTGATGGTAGGGGGTGGTATGGTGACAGTAGCAATGGTGGTGGTAAGGGACCCGGGGGGGGTGGTAGTGATGATGGTGGTGGGTGGGATGATGACATTGGTGGTGTTGGTGGTGGGGTAGTGACAGTGAAAGTGGTAGTGGTAGTAGTGGTGATGGTGAAGGGGTAGTTTGGTGGTGGGGGGTGGTTGTGGTAGTGGTGATGGTGGTTGGACGATGGGGGTGATTGTGTTAGTGGTGGTAGTGGAGTGGTTTCAAACACTATTTTTTTTTTTTTAAAAGTATTTATAAAAAATTATAAGTATGAAAAACACTTTTAAAAAATCACAAAAAATACACTCTTAGTGCCTTATTTTTTCATTTAAATTTAGAGTGTTAATATTAACTGTCGGATTAACTTTAAAATAAAATTGAAAGAGATTTCAATCGTGAATAGTAAAAATTATTTTGTTTATCTTTTGAAATTTGAATTGTATCGTAATTTATTATATAGATTACGTGATAAGTTTATGATAAAAAATCTTTAATAATTTGGATATTGTCTACTTGAGAGACCACATAAAAATATATTAAATACTTCAGGGATCAAAATTATGCAATTAAAATATTGAGGACTAAAATGAGACTAACTCTATATTTTGGGGATCTCTAGTGCAATTAATCCTTATTGAAATTCTTTTATAATTGTTTTTTTTTTTTGGGGGGTAGAATTACTTAAAAAATTACACGCATTCATGAGTTTGTTAAGGTAACAGTAACATGAGTGCAATTTCATCTTGTGCCAAAATGTAAGCTTGCTTCTATAGACTGCATACAATTCAAACACACACACACACACACTGAACATGGACAATGAACTGTTGTATTTACAAACTGAGAGTGTCCAGGACTCTGGGAGTTTTTGGACCCACTATGATCTAATCTAGGATAGTATTGTTCCTGCACAAGCAAACCATGTTGAAACCTTATCTCCTCCTTTTGCAACTGAACGTCACCTTCTCAGTTCTCTGGGCCATGTCTTCTTCTTGCTTGATTCCATTATTTATCATTTCATCTTCTTTTAATTTATTTTTCTAACAATATCTTATGGATGGGCCAAGAGTGGACTAGAAGCAACCCTACATCCCATTCATTTTCTTGCCAGATGTCCTCATCGCAATCTCCACATGGACACTTATAGAGTCCCTTACAAGAGATGGCATCATCATGTACCATATTGCTGTTACAATAATGGCATGCTGATGCATGGCAGAGAAAAAATTCCATGGAAGGAATGTAGGGGCTCTATGCGTTGTCTGTTCTTGGTGGTGAAATTGGCAGTTAAAAACATGGGAAGAGTCTGTCAAATCAAAACTAGTCAAAACCATGAACAGTGTAAAAGGGGAAAGGGTAAGAGGAGGGAGACGGAGAGAGAGAGATTAAACCCCTAGTGAAACTTTTGACTAAGGTACCATCTTCTTGGGATTTCAATTTTTACTTTTTGTCTTTCACCTTCATTGTTGAAATCAGTGAAACTCATCAAAGTATTTGACATTTTTTTTTCCGGTTATTTTATATCGCATTGTTCAATCAAGTAAGAGTAAGACACAATTACACTTGCCCTTCTCTTTAATTATATTTTAAAATATTTATAAAATTTTAAAAGACAACCCTGGTCATGCCATGGATCCCAAGGGCTCGAAGCAGCCACCGGAGGTGCCAAGCTTCTTGAGCTTCCCACAACAAAAAAATACATACATCGCCACTCCCACCACCAACATGGGTGACAACAAGCACGCAGAGATCAAAGACTTCCAGATTGTGGTTGCTGATAAAGAGGAAGGCAAGAAACAACAGTTGGCCCCCAAGAGAAGCTCAAACAAAGACAGGCACACCAAAGTCGAAGGCAGAGGAAGGAGGATAAGGATGCCAGCTCTCTGCGCTGCTAGAATTTTTCAGTTGACCAGAGAATTGGGTCACAAATCTGATGGTGAGACCGTTCAGTGGCTGTTACAGCAGGCCGAACCTTCCATAATCGCGGCCACCGGGACCGGAACCATACCTGCCTCGGCCTTCGCAGCAACAGGGGCCTCTGTTTCACAGCATGGTAGCTCTCTATCAGCTGGATTGCATCAGAAAATTGATGAGTTGGGTGCACAAATGGGGGGGTCAGGTGGGAGTAGCAATAGGACCAATTGGCCAATCGTTGGTGGGAATTTTGGGAGACCCCATATGGCCACAGCAACAGGGATATGGCCCCCTAGTGCGGCTGCGGTCAGTGGTTTCGGATTTCAGTCATCATCATCATCATCTTCTGGTTCATCAACAACCAATTTGGGCAGTGAAAGTTCCAATTACTTTCAAAAAATTGGGTTTCCTGGGTTTGACTTGCCAGCCACCAATCTAAGTCCTATGAGTTTTACCTCAATTTTGGGTGCGGCTGGTAACCAGCAGCTTCCTGGATTGGAGCTTGGGCTCTCACAAGATGGTCATATTGGGGTTTTGAACCCTCAAACCTTGAGCCAGATTTACCAGCAGATGGGGCAGGCTAGAATGCATCAGCAGCAGCCATCTTCAAAGGAGGATTCTCAAGGGTCAGAAGGACAATAGATTTGTTAGATATTATACTAATATTTGGGAAGAGGTTGGACCAAAGTTTCAATTTTGAGAAGCTAGGATTTTGGGTAAATGATTTCTGTGATGTATAATTGCAAAAGCGATGACAGTGAGTTGAAAATTCAGTTGGGTCTGGATTTGGTTCACGCACCTTCTTCTGTCCACCGCTTCATCCGAGTCTCCAAAGGCAGGTGCTTCGGGTTTTTTTTTGGACACATTTTTTCTGTGTAAATCACAGAGCTTTTAGATATTCTTGTTATTTTCATAGTTCTGCTTGTGGTCTGAAATGTGCAGGTGGAACTGCGCAGGGCCAAATAGTATTTGGATTTGGGCTTGACTTCTTGTTTATTTTGAAAGGTGTGGGTTAATTATAGTGTAAGGCATCCTTTATTTATATTCTTCTCTTTGGTCTGGGTTCAGCGCCGATCAGCCTGTTTGTGCAAGTATAAAACGTAGATTTCAGTAGTCATACATGTATGCTGTTCTCTTTTTAGGTGTAGTGAGGGTGCTTGTCTGTCTGAGCAATTCTTCTGTTGTGCACAAAGAGAGCTACTCATTCGTCACTTGTGATAGTCTATACACACTTTTAATTTGCAAGTCTTGTGTGTATGACCACGCTGTTCATACAAATTATTCCCTGAATTCTTTTGTTTTGGTCCGAATTATCTCGTGAATCTCTACACGCCACTGCTTTGTATCAATTACACTTTATAAAATTGTAACCTTGAGACCCACCACTTTTTTACTCAAGGATCTAGGTCTGCTTCATATCCAACTATTATTCAAATTTTAGTTGTGTATGCCACCACATTTAGCAGTTTGAAGCTTTACTGTCAGTTGTCAGGAACCATGTACAGTTTCTAACTAGTTCGAAAAAGAAAAAAATGCAGAGGTTCATGTTTCAAAAATATGTTAGTGATTGCTTTGTGTTTCCTTGACGAATGGTATGAATCTCAACTTATTGGGATTGGCAATAGCCTGGGTAGTTTCAATTTTGCCTTCCAAACATTCAAGTGCCTTTTGATTCACAATTTCACATGGAAGTGTAAATGGCTGATATTGTACTGCGAGCATCCTGAAGTAGGTGGCGTCTCAGTCTGGGACAGTATGTGGGGCTTGTTCAGCTTGAAGCTATGCCAATGGCTGACAGGATGATAATGGGGATTCTGTCTTCTCATGAGATGACAAGGAAAACTTCTAACTTGTTGAGAAAAATAATTGGTAGTTCAATTGATTACATCAGAAGTACTATTCTACAGCTGGTGTAAAAGAGAAATGTTTTGGGAAAGTCTTTATGCCTGTGATTCCATAAGGGTAAGCATAGATCACCGTACTTATTGTGTCATAACAGAAGAGAGTAATATGTCCAAAAAGTATTAGAACCTGCACAAGAAAAACATTTTGTAGTCCAGGACCTTCTCATGTGGCATTAGAGTATTAGTTTTGCAAGTTCATTTTTTTTCTTTTTGTTAATGTGGTTGCCAGTGGATTGTTGTGTCTCGTCCAAATTACCTCAGTGATTAGTATGCAGGCTGGTGCTAGTGTTTACACGCCTCTAATACATGGAAGTCAAGAAATTACAGTAGTGGAAATGCATATTCACTAGGTTAGAAAGGAAAAATAGAGTAGTGGAATACTGGAAGACATGGCTGTTGAATGTTGCATAGCTAAAAATACTTGCTTGCTTTCTACTTGAATCTATTCTGTTTCTTCATTTTCATTTTCATTCCTTTGTTTTTTGATCTAGAACTGCCACTGCTGTTCTTTCATTATGAATTTCTTGCTTCCTATGTCGTATGGTAATTGACTGGTTTGTCTCCATTCCTTGATCCACTCCTCTTGGTGGATAAGGTGCTCTAGAAGTTCGTAATCTGTCTTACCTATGTCTCAATTTCTTTTGTTTAACAAGATATTGTTTCAGCAGCTATTGAAAGTAGCAAAATCATTCTTGTTTTGCATGGGGTTGTCTCCAATTTCATGTGGGTCACTTTCGTTGTGGTTCTGTTTCACAGTCAAGAGATAATGATAATATAGGAGGGAGAGGGAGTGGGAGTAGGAGGATATTATTAGTCTACGCACACGATTTTGACTCTCTGTAATATGAATTTGTCATTATTCATGTTATCCCATCAAGTTTGCCACTCTTTGCGGGTTATCCTATCCTACTTTATAATATGCAAGTCGATAAGTAGGTGGACGGCTGTTTGTGATCACCGACACACTCTCTCCTAAATTATCTTGACAGCAGCATTGCCATCAAGTTGGGTGAGCCCAATGACTTGTGTGGATTCCTAGTTTTCGTTTTCCTTTTTGGTATTGCATTTGATTTAGATATTGATTGACACTGGAAAGTAGTATGATAGGTAGAAAATGGGTCAAAACTTACTTTGAATAGAATGGCGGAAAAGATAGTCCAGTGGATAAATAATAGGATTCACATAGCCGATGTCAGATAAGTAAGTTTTAAGGCTTTTGTTTTGTTGAGTTGAGTTAATTTAGTATTGGATTATATTCAAGACAATCAATCAATTTTGTTCTTTTGGGTCTATTTCCCTTATAAAAAAAACGTAGGGGAGAGGATGAAAATGGATTAAGATTAGGCTGCTTTACTTGATAACATATGCTGAACAAGTTTTATGCATTAAAATTGTGTCTATCTTGGCAGCATTGATCATGCATTTGTGGGCAACCGGAAAATTAAAAAGGTGATCAAATAACAGAAAACAATAGAAACTGGTTCCAAAAAGAGGTTATGAAGATGACGATGAAATGGAAATTAGAATTTGTAAAACAGATCAAACAGAACACAAGGATTGGAGTTTTTGATTATCTTATCCAGTGCGGACACACTGGGTTGTTCCCTTTTTTTTTTCTGGCAGTGTGAATGTGAATGGACCAATTAATGGGTTTGGTCTAATGGGGGAGAATGCTAAAATTTACATGACATGACAGAAGAAAGAGGGTGATGGAAAAGAGATTCCATTGTTCATGCGCTATCTTTAAACAATTTGGGTGGGTGCGTGATGAGGCTTTATGCTTGTTTTTTGCACCAAAATTTTGGATTTCAATTATCAATACCTTCTAATTTCGTATTTTTTTGGATTGATTGTGACCTGTTTGGGACTTTTAAGGAATTGGGTTGCTCTGTTTCTATTTGATGAGATGTAACCATTGTGGGTTTTTTAAAAAAGTTTTTCGAAAATCAGTACGTACTATCAATAGCCGTAATCCACCCACCCTGAATTGGTGGGCCAATTCATGTTAAGCATATGAAGTAATTTTGTGAGAATTGGGGGCCTTTCAAGTCTTGAACCCGAGGGGTTATTTGGTATGTAAGTTTGGGGGGTTCAAAATCATGGGTCGAAGATTAAATCCCTTTAAATTCATGTTTGGCAACTATGAAGTATGGATAAAATTTTAAATTCGGCCTGGTCACAAAACCCAAGGGAAGGATGGGTTTCATTTGTGGGTTTGAGGGTTTAACATACAAATAATATTTATATCCTATATACCTCATATATATACAAATTGGTTAAGGGACACAATAGTTATTTATATATAAATATATTATCATAATAGTCATATATCCGTGCGTATACCAAATATGAGTATGAATCTTTTCAAAGGATTAGCTCAACATCACTCACTTGATACATTTTAAAAGGAAGATGTTGCATGATCAAACCTTATTAGTTCTTTAGACCTACATGATTGCATGTGATCCGACAAAATCTATATAATAAAGTAGTTTACAATTCAAATTTCAAAAGATAAATAAAATGATTTTTGTTATTTGCAGTTGAGATCTCTTTAAATTTTACTGTAAAGTTAATCTAATAGCTAATATTAACAACCTAAATTTACTAAAAAAAATAGGTACCTAAAGGTGTGTTTAAAGTGACTTTTTAAAAGTAATTTTAGAATTATTTCTCATAAATACTTAAAAAAAATAGTGTTTAAAACCGTCTCACCACCACCTCCACCACCACCATCGTTGTTGCCTCCCTCGCCCCCACCACCACAACCACGATCATTGTCACCTACCACAACAATCACCGTCTCTTACTACGACCACTGTCGCCCACCACCTCTCACCCCTATTATAAAATCGATGTTTAAATTTTTTTATGTCTTCTCTATGTTTGTGATTTGATTTTGAATATGAATACAAATATGTTTATTGTTTACTATTTTTTATTATTTTGTACTTTCAGGCACAAGCAATAACTAATATATATAATAAAATAATTTACAATTCAAATCTCAAAAGATAAACAAAATGATTTTTACTATTCGCGGTTGAGATTGTTTTAAATTTTACTTTAAAGTTAATCTAACGACTAATATTAACACCCTAAATTTAATAAGAAAAATATGCCCCTAAGAGTATGTTTGGAGTGACTTTTTAAAAGTATTTCTACAAATTATTTCTCATAAATATTTCTAAAAAAAATAGTGTTTGAAATCGGCTCACTACCACCACTGCCTCTACAACTACCACCGTTGTCGTCGTCGCTACCACTACCACTACCTTTACCACCACCGCCGCCGCCCCCATTGCCATCGCCACGACCACCGTTGTCGCCCACCACTTCTCACCCCCACTACAAACCAATGGTTAAATTCATTTATCTCTTCTCTATGTTTGTGATTTGATTTTGAATATGAATACAAATATATTTATTGTTTATCATTTTTTATTACTATGTGCCTTCAGACACAGGCAATAACTAGTCATATAGTAAGAGCTGGTCCAAATATCTTATAATTCAAAAATTAATTATTGACTTTATGACTAATTCTTTTTGCAACAAAAACATGTATTAAATCCTCTGTCCCCAAATATCAAGTACAAGTGGTTGGTGATTTTATCCATTAGAGAGCATCACTTCTTGGCTGATTTCCTATGAGTAAATGGACGATAATTTAATATACACAAAATAACAAAATCTCTAGTGAGCCTTTAGTGTATGGAATAGTTGGCGGGGAACTGGGGAGTCTATTCTATTCTTTGGTGCTCACAATCTGATCAAACCAATCCCACAGGCCACTGTACACACTCTTTTTTTTTGGATTGCTTGTGTCACACACGTATACTAATATACTAAAATATACATATATTAATACACAAAAAATACACACACTAATACACCAGGTTCACGGGTCAACTCATAATTCATGGGTTGACCCATGGGTCAACCCACAACCCATTATGTGTGTATCTTTTTTTTTATTATTATTAAACATGTTTTAGTTTTTGTGTTAGTATATGTGTGAATATTTTTAATGTATTAGTTTGTTTGTGTTTTTGTGTGTTTGTGTATGTTTGCATTTTAGTGTATTATTAATGTGTGTGTGTGTGTATTTTGGTGTATTAATGTATCTATTAACAATTTTAATTATTTTATGGGTTAATCGGTTTAACCCAACAGGTTATAAACTCATTCAATTTATTAGGTGAGTGTAGTCCGATCCAATTTAACCCAAATCATAATCAACCCGACCCATTCATTTACCACCCCCTACTCGTGTGTCTACTGCACAAATCTCCTTTGAAATAGATGTCGTGAATTTGTCAAATTCTCGACACCAGTGGTCATAACGGTTCCTTATGAAACCTTGGGCGAGTGAGGTAGCTAGTCAGATAAGCCGAGCTCTAATATCTGCTTCCAACCGGACAGTCCCAACTAGGACATGGAATCCGTCGCTCGAGCAAACCCTCCACCGCCTCCGCTGTCGCGACTCGCTAACGCCAACACTGGTGGCCCGAGTCATCGATCCGTTCCTACTCAACCACCACTCGCTCGCTCTCGGCTTCTTTAACTGGGCCTCTCAACAACCAGGCTTTAATCACACCTCAATCACCTATCAATCTATCCTCAAATCTCTCTCCATTTCCCGCCAGTCGAATTCCATTAGCAGTCTCTTAAAGCAAGTCAAAGCCCACAATATCGATCTCCACCCTTCAATTTATAAATCCGTCATGGCTTCACAGATTATGGGTAAGAATACGCATATTGCATTTTCTATTTTCAGTGAAATTACTTCATCAATTTATACAATTGGTTCCGAAATTTGTAATTCGCTTCTTGCTGCGCTATCGTCCGATGGGAATATATGTTGTGCCCAGAGAGTATTCGATGAAATGATTCTGAGAGGTGTAAGTTTGAGTACACTTGGTTTTGGTGTTTTTATATGGAGGTTTTGTAGAAATGGTGAGTTGGGAATGACTTTAAGTTTGTTAGATGAGGTAAGGAAGAGTGATTTTTCAGGGATTAATGGGTCAATTATTGCTGCTTTGGTTGTTCATGGGCTGTGTTTGGAGTCTAGGGTAGGAGAGGCTGTGGATGTGTTGGATAAGTTGAGGGAAAGGGAATGTAAACCTGATTTTATGGCGTACAGAATTGTTGCTGAAGCATTGCTGCTCACAGGCAATGTGTTTGATGTGGAGAGAGTGTTGAAGAAGAAGAGGAAGCTAGGGGTAGCACCAAGGGAAAATGATTACAGGGAGTTCCTGTTTGCTTTGATTTCGGAGAGACTGATATGGGAAGCAAAAGAATTGGGTGAAATTATTGTAAATGGCAATTTCCCAATTCAGGATGATGTTCTCAATCCTTTGATAGGGTGTGTATCCTCTACCGATCCTTCTTGTGCATTGTCATTTTTAAAGTTCATGCTTGGAAAAGAGAAGTTTCCAACTCTTCTTACTTTGAGTAATTTGAGTAGGAACCTCTGTAAGCATGGAAAAGTCAATGAATTGGTTGAAGTTTACCGTATTCTGTCTGCCAAAGGGTACTTTGTAGACATGGAGAGCTACAATGTGATGGTTTCTTTCTTGTGCAAGTCTGGGAAAGTGAAAGAAGCTTATCAGGTTCTTCAGGAGATGAAGAAGAAAAGTTTGGGTCCAAATATATCATCTTATAATTCTCTTATAGAAGCCTGCTGTAGAGAAGACCTACTCCAACCTGCAAAACGTTTGTGGGATGAGATGTTCGCAAATGGTTGTGGTGGCAATTTGAAGACTTACAACATTCTTATCCGGAAATTTTCAGAGATAGGTCAAGTTGAAGAGGCTCACAGGCTATTTTGCCACATGGCAGAGAAAGGGGTAGCTCCTGATGCTCTGACATACACTTCCCTCATTGAAGGCCTTTGTCGAGAAAAAGAGTTTAAAACAGCTCTTGCAGTCTTCAACAAGTCTGTTGAACAGGATGCAATGCTCGCACAAGCCATATTGAGTACATTTATCCTTCACCTCTGTAACGAAGGTATGATCTGAATTCATGGACTGTTATGGCAACTTTATAGTAGACAGGATGTTAGCCAAAATTAGTAGTGATAACCTTGGCTTGTGGTTCTAGTTAAGGTGTACTATATCATATCTCTAGCAGATTACTAGTTTTGCTGTTGATTTATTAGGCAACGTGATTCTTACAGGTCATTTTCTTGCTGCTTCCAAGTTACTCCGTGATTGCACTAGTGATATAGGAGATTCAGATTCTCACGTGATTTTGCTGAAATGCTTAGCTGATGCCAGAGAGGTTCCAATTGCCATTGAACATATTAAATGGATTGGAGATGAGTCACCTTTGATGTTGTATGCAATATGTACTGAGCTTTTAGCATCACACTCATCTTCATCAAAACCAGATCCAACCATGCAGTTGATTCAAGCAATGCAGGAAAAACGTTTAGTTTCAAAAAATGATTCTCGGCAGGATATGCCAAACAAATGACTTTCTTGTTGTTCGGCTTAGCATTCTTCTGCAATGATGCAGAGGATCTGAAGGTCAGGTCCCTATTTGAAGTACAAAATGTTGGCTCCTCATTTATCTGTGCAAGCAACACGTGGATTTCCTACAGGTAATCTTTTTCTCCATCGTATATTTGCTCAGTCACATCTCTATACATAGTTGACACTCTTTTCATTTCTATAACCCTCCATATAAATTAGGAGCAATATCATGTGCTTTTCTAAATCAATTAGTACCGCAATATCATGTGGTCTAGGACCATACATGTATATTTTGGAATACCTGCGAAAAGCACAAAAGAGGTGCTTGAATCATATAAACTTCCTGTGACATCGAAATTAATTGGATCTTGTTATTTGATGAATATTCCTTGAGATACTGCCAAATAAGCAGAAAAAATGGAATGAAATTGCTGTGGAGATGGACTGAATAATAGCCTGCAATCTGCAGATCATGTTTGAAATCTGATCTAAGAACTTTTTGACTGAAAGCTTTATATGATTCCTTTCTCAATGGGTTCAAACGACTACAAAATATTTTACTATCTCCCTTCCAATTGAGCACTCACAGAATTCCTCTGAATTGGGAGATCCTCTGCTTCATCTATATCATGAGGCACGTGGGAGCTGCCTTTCGTGCTGTCATACCATTCATTTAATGTATTGTAGTGCTGCTGCACTACCAAGATGGTGGCACTGCCGTTGAAATCAGCTGTAGCAAACATGTCTTCCTATTTGTCCCCTCTTGTCTCTTCATTCCAACCTTTTAGTCCCAAGATGAGTGGTGACCATGCATCATGACGTCTTCCCACAATGATAAGTTCATAATTATTCTCCATGCTTTGGATGGCGGTGACTGTTCCTGTCCCATCCATCATCACCTCTTCTATATACATGACCCGATAATTTCCTGCCATACTTATCATGAAATTGCTCACCACTTCATTGTCTAAGTTCTTTCACTTGCATCTTCACCAATAACATTCCCATTCTGAAGAAGCCGAGTAATTGTTAGGTTGACATAAGGTTGCCCAGCCATCCGTGCCCCTAAAACTAGTGCTTCCCTGTCATCAGCTCCTCCCAAGAAGAGAACAGCAACACGATATGAAATCCAGGTTGCCAATACAGACCTTGAACTGTTGAGAAGCCCCCAGTCAACAATAATTGCAATGGAGCATGGTGCCCTATTGAGAATCATGCTATTGACAATCCTGACTTCCTTTCGATTTGACTCAATCGTACCGTTGGCCGTAAATCTGTTATGAAAAGGGATTATTACGAGGGAAACCCTCCTATCAAGTGCCATTTTTCAGATTTCATCGTGCATCGATGAATAAGGAGATATTGCAGTAAAGGCCTGCACAAAAATGAAACCACGATAGTTTTGCTCAAATAGTCTACAGGCATTGGAAGGGGGGATTTTGTCAGTTTCTGTGGGATGAGCAGTGGGTGAGCACGGTCAACAAGCTCAACAAGGTGAAGGATGCAGATGGCAATAGGGTTGTGTTTGTTGGGATTAATAGCTTCAATCATTTTGGTCGTGCATGTGTTCTACTACTCGGAGTTTGGAGTTGGGTTTCAAGTGCAAAATCGTCCTCCTCTTGTAGACGAGGTACCTCCGTGAAGGATCATGTAGGTATCTTACCATGGGTGTAATAGCCACTGTCACAATCAGCATGGACGTGCGCAAGACCACAACAGCTTCATTATCTATTGCCTGCATGCCATAAAATGCTTAGATGGGTTAAATATTGCTGTATACAGCATAAATGACACTGCTGTGATGTAAAGGCTTGTTGGTAATGTCTGTTTGATTCTGTGATTATTGTATTTCCAATCCTGAAAACGATTCAAGATTATAGATGTATTGACCATTAAAACAGGATCAGAAGTCCGAACACCCTCCTCTTTCCCTCCTCACCTTTTGCCCTCTCAGTGGTTTATGTGATGCCATCTAGATTTATGAATTTATGCTCTTAGGTAATAACCCGTCTCTGTGTATGTTTGTTTGCAGGTGTGAGATGATGAAAGTCCAACATACCTTTGCTTGCTTCATCATTTTAAACATGCCAAGCTCGAGAGCCTCTTGAATGTTCATGACAAGGCCAAGTGAGATAGCATCCCTGCGACGTACTTTGAATTAAGTTGAGGATGAGGGCTCCAAGGAACTTGCCTTCGCTGGTAACAAGGATGATGAATTGGACAACCATATAATTTTTCATCTTGACCGAAAATGTCGATCACCAAACCATTTTTGAGGAAGAAAAGCGGCATAAACATCCATATGAGGGCTTCTCTACCAGCGCTGATCCCAAAAGGCGGCCCGGCGAGTATTGCCATTCCGTAAAGAAGTGGTACATAAAAGATGTGCAGACCACTGGCCTGACAGCAAAAGCCAGTCACCAGGACGCCTACAAATATGAGATAAATAAACCCCGGCTTCAATTCCTCCTCGGCTTGAATTTGCAGCCTCCATAAGACTACTGGTCGAACTAGCAAAAAAATCACCAGTGCCATGGCAATACCAGTGGCAACAGTTCTTAACGTCATGAAGATATCTGTGTTGTGCTCATTCGTTAGAACAGTGAGCGTTATAACAACAAAACCAAACAAGTTAGATAATTGAGGAAGATAGTGCCATTCTGCCGAACTCGGAATTTATCGTCTTTAGTTCGGTCAGGTAGTGAACAACTATTGGAAAGGCAAGCACGGCTGAGGTTGTTGCCACTACAGGAAGTGAGCTGGCTAACTTTTGCGGCATGCTGATTTTAGTAACCATAATTAGGATGGAGCAAGAGATGCTTAGTACCACAACAAGGACTGCAGTGGAAAAGCCAATGGTGAATTCCTTTTTACCTATTTCCTTCAGCAGTATCCAAGGATCCATTTGTACTCCAATCAAGGAAAAGTAGAACATGAACCCAAATACGGAGAGTGTATCTGGCATTATGAGACTTTTTAAGGGATAAACCGGTGCTGAAAATCCACCAAACCGTCCCAGAAACGATCGACCTAGTATTAAACCGCCCTGGTAGAGGTCCCAAGCAATAGAACTGTTATCAATGCCTGCAAATGTAATCGCAACTTGTATACAACTCATTGGATCGAAGAAGTCTTGGAATGAAACTGGGAAGACATTTAAGGGCATGAATTTACAGAGAAGCTTACCAGTATCTGTGGAACAATGCTGGCCTGGCCAAGATGCTTCAGAAGGCGAGAAGCAAAGAGAATGAAGACAGAGGCTAGAGAGATCTGCGCCAGGAGGAGAGGGACTGCGTAGTCCATGGGCTTCATATTGTGAAAGAGGCTTCTTGATTGAATTTATTACGTGGCCGAGTGATTATATGTGTCGTTGTGGGTGCTAGCTTATGATGCTACGTCCTCGGGTTCAAGGGCGGTGCTCTGCATGGTCTAGGGTAGACAAGTGCCCTCCTAAAAAAAAAAATTATTACGTGGGTATACATTTGTATATATTATTGGGCAAAATCCAGTTTATTCTTTTGTGGTTTGGTCGTTGTGCACATAACCTCCTTGTCATTCAAAAATCATCACATAGTCCTCTTGTATTTTTGGACTAAAGTGCGTAGCTAACACCGTTAACGGCATTGGCAAAAAGATTACCTTGCCTTCCTTAAAATCTGAATAAACTCTGTCACTACATCTTCTCCAACCCCAATGCATCTTCATATATTGTTCAACTCTCCACTGAATCATTGGGTCATCACCACTAAATTACATCATGATTGCAAAAAATTAGTTTTTATTTTTATGTGATAAAAATTAAAAAATATAAAACATGTTTAATAATTATTTTATATTTAAAAAATTATGAAAACAAAAATAAAAAACTTGTTTGAGATTTTATCCAAAACCAACTACCCAACGCCACTTAATCCCACCACCAGTAACCACCTAATCCCATCCCAAACCCACCCCTCAAACTCTTTGCAATCCACTCACCACCAACCACCCATACCGAAAACCCACCCCCACCAACAATAACCAAACACCACTGAAACCCCTACCCCCAACGCCACACTTGAAAAACGACTCAACACTCCCCTGAAAAATCATCCAACATCACTTAATCCCACCACCAGCAACCACCTAACCCCACCACAAACCCACCCCCCAAACCCCTTGCAATCCACCCACCACCAATAACAACCCAACACCACCCAAACCCCCACCACCAATGCCACGCCTGAAAAATCACCCAACATCACTTAATTCCACCACCAGCAATCACCTAACCCCACCACAAATCCACTCCCCAAACCCCTTGCAATCCACCCACCACCAACCACCCATACCGAAAACCCACCCCCACCAATAACAACCCAACACCACCCAAACCCCCACCACCAATGTCACGCCTGAAAAATCACCTAACACCACTTAATTCCACCACCAGCAATCACCTAACCCCACCACAAATCCACCCCCCAAACCCCTTGCAATCCACCCACCACCAACCACCCATACCGAAAACCCACTCCCACCAACAACTCAACACCACCAAAACTCCCACCCCCAACGCCACACTTGAAACTCATCCCTAACCTCTTGAAATCCACCCAACATCCCATGAAAACCCACCACAAACCCCTTGCAATTTACCCACCAACAACCACCCATACCGAAAATCCACCCCCACCAAACAACAACCCAACACCACCAAAACTCCCACTCCCAACGTCATATCTGAAACTCATCCCTAATCCCTTGAAACCCACTCAACACCCCCCCCTGAAAAATCCACCTTAAACCCCCGAAAATCGACTCTCAATAGTCTCGAAAACTCGCTCCCAACAGTCCCTGAAACCCACCCCCAAACCCATTGAAAAACCCCCACCATCCCCACCAAAAACCACAATAACAATTACAGAGAGAGAGAGAGAGAGAGAAAGAGGAGGAGGTGAGAACTGGAGAGGCAAAGAGACGGGAAAATGTAGAATGGAGATGAAAAATCTAATTTTTTTTTTCTAACAGTAAAATGTAGAAGAAAATAAAAAAATGTCTTTTTAAAAGATCACAAAGGTATATTTGAACTTTTAGATTAAACTTTGACTTTGACTTAAATTTTTTACATCCATACTTACAAATTTAGCGCGTGTTACAATTTCTGTCACTTTTGACAGAAATAGTAACGGTCACACTTTAGTCTAAAAACACAAGGGAGGAGCTATGTGCTGAATTTTAAATCACAAGGAGGTGATTTGCACTACGACCAAATCACAAGGGAATAAACTAAATTTTGCCTTATATTATTTGTGTCCATCCAAAATTAAAGACAAAAATATTAAGTCCATCACCCTCCACCCAAGGAAATTAAAAAATCAAGTCCACTTAAAACGAAAAAAATTTTTGGCCTATATTGTTGAAATTTGAGTATTGTATAAAAAATTGTAACTTAATCATGTTAAGTTACAATTCAATGGAATTGAGTTAAAATTAATACCCAAAACTTGAAATTGATCTCAAATTATTGAAATTTGGTATGTATTTAATTTTTTTAACCGATTGAGTTAGTAATTGATCATAGTTATATCAAATCTTCCCAATTTTTGCAATTTTAAAGTGTCCATCGGAAAAAGTTCAAGGGCACAATTGGCATACAAATATTAATAACCGCAACTAATGCACAGTACAAACTTCTCAACTAATCATTATTCACACTCCATTTTTGGGACCCTTTTATTATATATGCATCTTGGGGGTGATTAGAATCTCTCACGAATTGACTGGAAAACCACAACCAGACAACCCAGGATGATCATGCAAAGTTAGATCAAACTCCAGAAATTATAATAAAGCAAGCATTATGCATAGTCCAATAGAACGTAACTGTCACGGCAAGCCAATAACATGATCAAATTTTAGAGAAAAAAAAGTACTCTGCAGTAATTCTAAATGTAAAAAAAAAAAGGAAGAGAAAGGCCTCTAAAGATCCATATCTTGAGAAGCACAAACAATAATTAAAAGGCAGCTCCTAGGTTAACCTCTGAGCAGCTTCCTTCGCAATAACCCTTTCTTTGGCCTTGGTTTTGGCTTGGGATTTAGAACCCATGATCCCACCGCCCCACTTCTTCCTGTACTCATCATATTTATCATTGAAGTTGGCCTGAACAAGAAAGAAATCCCAGATAAATTAAAAAGAACCTTGAAAATCATACAAAAGTCAATAGACTCATAAGGTAATGAATTTGGCATCACCTTTATGGCTTCTAAAATTTTGCTAAACTCCAGTTTATCTTCATTCTTGACTGTGGTCAAGCACAAAACTGCTGCATTTTTCTTATGGACGATCTGACAGAAAGGCAATATGTATTAAGATCCTCCAAGATCACATATATGCAGTTACAGGCTTTTTGAAGGCTAAAGTTACTGGCACTAAAAAAAAAGGTCACAGGATAAATTTTATGTTATAATTAAAAAATAGGGGTGCAACTCAGGCAAGCTGAGAGGCCAACTCTAACCCAACCCTACGTAAATAATTTTCAACCCTAATCTTAATCCTAACCCTACCTCAACTCAAGATACTAACCGAGTTTAATTCAGACAGGCTCGAGTTGAAGTCGAGTTACTTAATTCGGACTATTTTTTGGTTAAAAATCAAGTTGAGTTCGAGTTATTTAATTTGGGTTTGATAAAAGAGTGACGAGTGAAAAAGGAATGCTGAGAGTCTGAGACGACTCCAACGAGTGAGAGAAGGAAACTAAGATAATGAGACGAGACTCGGACAAAGGAGACAGGGAAGTTGAGAGCCTGGTCTATGAGAGACAAGAGACGAGTGACAAGTGCGAGAGGGATCCGAGAGTGATGGGAGCACAAAGGTGAAGACTTAAAATGAAGTAAAAGTCTGAACTCTAAAAAGTGAAAACAAATACTAACCGTAGTTAAATATATTTATATATTTATGTATATTAGGTTTCAACCCGATTTTAATATTTGGGTTCAACCAAACAATCAGAGACCTCAACTCAAATCTTGTCCAAATTCAATTCGGGTTGGAGTTTTTTGTCTAGGCCCAACCCAAATATTAAAAATTCTAACCCAAACCCTTTTTTTTGGGTTGAACTCGGGTTGGTCCACCCTTGCACCCCTATGAAAAAGTAAGTGAAGTACTGACGCGCTATTGTGGAGAGTCAAGCCTGTTAAGTATGCGAGACCAACGGTTGCTTACCGTTCCCAATCGTGATTTCCCTTTCACAATGCAGTATGGGATTTCCATCTTTCTGCATAATGAAGGAAGCCAGACAACCAACTCTATTGGGTCCACATCATGAGCAATAACTACCAATTGTGCCTTATTCTGCAAAAAAAAAAAAAATCAGGCTGGCAGTTATTTGGAAAATAGGCACACCGGCAAAGATGATTAAAAAGTAAGCATACAAAGAAAAAGAAAGACAACCTGCTCAATAAGATAGGTGACGTGGTTGAGACCATATTTCACAACAATAGGCTTCTTGGCTTCAGGAGACTTTCCCTCTGCCTCAGCCTGAGCTCTTTTTAAAAGACGCTCTTTTTTTGCCACTTTATCCTCGGGCCTGTACTTGAGAAGCATTTTGAACAGACTTGTTGCTGCAAATTATTGAGAGATGCTATTGCGAATGTTAAGGTAACCATGAGCAGAATTTTTGTGAAAACACGAGAAAAACCAAGTAAATCACTCGTTTGCAAGAAGATTATGTAGTCAGGATAAATCAAAAATAAAAAAGAAACACTTAAAATCAGTACCTGAAGCGAAGTAAAACCTTCAGTAAATCATTTGACAAATGATGAAGTAGGTAAGATTCTGCCATCCTAACAAATGTCAATCTAATCCAAAATTCTGTCGTGAGTTGATTAATGCTTGTTGAGTTGCATTTCATCACTTAGGTTTGCCAAAACTCAAACTTGTATTTGAATTTGAGTTCAGTAAATTAATCACTGAACTAGGCCTCAAGCTAAGTAAATTATGTTTACCATTTCCTCCATTATGTGGTAGGAGTAATCAAGTACCTCTGTAAATTATTATTCATAGAATGTTGCAAACGTGTGCTTATTGAGCACAAATGATGTAAACGACTCAGAATACAAGCAATACTTGAGAATAGAAAGGAAGTATGGAAGAACAGTATTAGCTTTCATAGTTAATGAAGAGTATAGGAAGTGACAAAGTTTGCAATTGTGAACAGTCTAAAATTTACTAAATGAGGTGAGAATTTCAGCTTCTAAAATCTGAGCTGGTAAATTAAAGTAGAGAATATAAGAGAAAAGCAATTGAATAAAAATCGTACAAATATAACTACAATAGAAAGAAAGATAAAATGAGGCAACATTCCAAGACAGGACTTTTGGCATTCTTACCGAGGAAATTTGAATATGTTTAAGATCGAAGTAGTATCATAACATCAAGTTTTTGGAAAACAAAATTGAAATATATATAGTTCTGTAAGCCTGAATGTCTCATGCATGTGCATAGAGGACGTGCATACATATGCAGATAGGTGAATAGATGCAAATTTCTACTGCTTGGGCGCATGACTCCATAGTGTCTCCAAGTAAAATGCCTTACCCACAAAAGAATGCATCATTTCTTAACGCCTCTTCATTTTGCAAAGAGGTTATACAAGCACCTAAACACTTCAACATGTTGTTTACATCAAAGGCATTTCGAGCAAAAGCATACGTATATTTTGATGCTGTTTGCATTGAAAATTTGTGGAATTTCTAGGCTGCAAGGCAACAAATCATACATACATTCCAGTATAATTGATTCATCAAATCTAAATAATACCCTTAATTTTAAGGTCGAAGAACTAGTTTTGTTTCAATGGCTTGACCATCTGCTATAATACAATGAGTACCGATACGACTTTCACATATTTTATTTATAGTATAAGTTTCAATCAAGATATTCTAGCAATGTAAAGAGATAGAAACTTCTGCTTGGGAAGGGTGTGAAGAGACTCACTCAATGAGATCACAAACTGATTATGAAACAATTTACCGTACGCACAAATATGAGAGATTTATATGTCATTTTGAGATCATCATCCTTACCGAGGTTCTTGTCGAGGGTCTTGGTGAACTGGTTCAAGGTAGGTGGGACCTTCAAGCGCTGCCTGAGGATCCTTCTCTTCCTCTGAATGCGAACAACCTTGGGCCATTTCACAAACCTGTGCAGATCTTTCTTCGGTGGCAATGCCCCTCCTATTCCAAACTGCTTCGGACGCTTCTCGAACAATGGATTCACTACCTTGTCCTGAGAATACCATTAACAAAATCGCATAAATTCATATGTACTACTTAGCTTAGACAAATTAAAACATACGTTTGTGCATTATTTGTGCGTGTAAATACATCGGGGGCGTAAAATCATACCGGTTTCTTCTTAGCTGCTGCAGCAGGAAGCCTTACACCTTTCTTTGGAGCCTTCAAGTTAGAGAAAAATAACACATATTTAGAACCACATCAACCAAAATAGGGACTTTGCTTACACACTTTTCATAGTTTTGAACCTCAGTGAGTTCAGAAATGTAAGTCCAAAATAATGAGAGAGAGAGAGACAGAGAGGAGAGAGTTTTCTGTTGCTCACCATTTTCGGATGTTCTCGACTCTGCGTCTAGGGTTTGCGAACGGCGGAACGAAAACCCTAATATACAAGCAGGCAGGCCAGTGTACGTAAGGAGCAAAGAAAGAAGAGTATTTATACGGGCTTGACCTAAATACAATGGCCAGCTGCTGACAAAGGGCCCATGTTTTACTTCTCATCTCAGATGGGCTAAAGCCTTAATTAGGTTAAAAGTGCCAGGGCCCATGTTTTAGTTGTCATTAGAGTCTCAGATGGGCTAAAGCCTTAATTTGCAGGCTATTTGGCAAAACCCTGACATGTACATCCCAACGTGTTTAGTGACAATCTCAAATCGATCCCTCCAAGCCCACTGATCTCTTAATTTCACCATTAGTCATAGACCTCTCTTTCTCACGGGTGTATATGAGCAGTCAACGAGATCCAGTCAAGGCATACCATACCATACCATACCATACATACCTCTTGATCAAGAACTTCCATTGACCAGTTGGTTCCTGAGTATTTTTCACCACTTAAAAAGCATTGCCCAAGCATTCCAGTTCGGATTAGCTTTCAACTGGTACCAAAAAAAACCGGTTTCAGTAATGTTACATTGACTAAATTTTGAGCTCAAATGACATAGCAGTTGACATAGACTTTTTTATTTGGTATCATGTCATTTGAACCCCAATAAAAACTCTAAATAATATGTTGTTATGTCATTTGAGGTCTAAATTTGGTCTTAAAATTTAGTCAGCATAACATTACTCTTCAAATAAATATTAAGCCGTACCAACGAATATAATGGTTCCTTAATTGCCGTGCGGACAATGAAATCAGATATTAATTTAACACAAGTTGGAACTATATGTTTTTGTTTGGATTAATTGGAACAACATATATATATATATATATATAAGCGTACGTGAATGAGACTGATTGCTCCTTCAACATAGACTTGGTAAAAGACAGTTGCTTTGTTGAAATTTACTTCGCCCTCTTAGTTTTGATCCTGATCGATCTCTTGCATGCTTCATCAAATTTAAAGTTTATATCACACCAGCTAGCTAGCTCTCAATGTGCGTTTGGATCCCAAATAGCTAGGAATACATGGGCATGGGCATGCAAACGCTACTGTTATATATCTTTTAAGATCCAGCGGTGGAAGCTACCAACATAGATTATAACGGCATTAATTGATGATAACTAAGACATTGTTAGTAATTAATTGTTAACGTTAAACCTATGTGCTGGTTCCTAATCGATGGCTAAGCTAATGCATAATGCCTCGCTAACAGCATGAGATCATATTTTATTGAGAATTAAAAAAGCTTTGCCTATTGCATAGACACTTTGTTCTTTGGCATCTACTAAAAGAATTAAAAACTTTACCTGTTGCATATAGACTTTGTTCTTTGGCATCAACTAATAAATCTATAAGTTCTCCACATGTTTTTAAAGCCAAAGTGGCAAACTTCTAACTCATGATCCACCCTTCATTCTCAGCATTGATTCTTCTACATGCTCTCTCTCATTAGTTCATGCATTATATTGTTGAAAGAGTAAAATAATTTTCACCTAAAAGCAATCGTAAAAACCCTACAGACTTGGCTAAGTCTGGAGTAATAACACACGACTATCTAATTCGGTTATTGAAGCCAAAGGTTGTAAAGCATAATCCAAAACGATGAGAATCCATGGACGTTTAGTGGAACTTCTTGCTAGGTGCTAACAAATATAACAAGAGAATTGTATCGTAGCGGCTAAGGGAATTACACGTGAGCATAACGTGGACTATTTAGAGAGAGAGAAGGTGAGGGAGAGAGAGATGCCGACTGGGAAGAAGAGGTTGAAGGAAAGAGGGGACAAACGCTTCATTCCCTAGGCAAATCCAAGGTTAGGCGGCGCCACCGACGCCACATGAGACGACTTCGCCAATGTCCACTTCTTTGTCGTCACCTTCTTCTTCACCCACCTTCCTCTTTCACCCTCATACACTTTTCCTGGTTTGCCCTTCAAGTTTTCCACAAATTACAACCCTTTTATGGGACTCCCACTTACCATGCATATGCAAATAATCCCAATTGACCAAACTCATTATATTTTTCAGAAACTAAGTTACCATGTATTTATTTGTTTTAACTTACACTGCAACCCTCAAATCTTTTATGTGCACATTGCATATTCTCTTAGTTGGATACACGCGAAACTTTAGTTTCTTTTTAGATATACTAAGTTAAGACTTTGTGTTTTTATAATCGTAACTTATCAATTATGCGATGCTTGTGTTACCAAACTTCGAGTAGTGATGAAAATCTTTTTGAATTTTCATTATTGGGTTAATAACTCCAAATGTACTATCTAAAAACCTCTTGATGTAGCAATTTTCAAATCTTTCGTCCATGCCAAAGAAATACAAAAAAAAAAAAAAATACAATTAGAACAAAAAATCAATCATATATATCCTTTTATTCAAAATCTTGCATACCGGTGTTAGTCATCTAAGAAGCAATTTTTTGTTGAAATGTTTTTTAGCTAAATGGTCAATTTGAAGTCGTGGTTTGGATCTCATCTACTTTTTCAATAATAACAAAATAAAATTGAGCATTTTTTTTCTATTTGTATTTTTCTGAAAAATAAGAGCCAAATTGCAATTAAAGGATGAGTTTTTGTTTTTCTTCTTTAGTAATGTTCTAAATTTTAGAATCATATTAAGAACTCAAATAACGTGTCACCATATTATTTGCAGTTTTTATTAGAATCTAAATAGCATGACATCAAATAAAAAAGTTCAAATAAATTATTATGTCATTTAAATCCTTAATTAATTTCAAAATTTGATCAACGTAAAATTACTCTTTCTTATTTCCTTTCTTTTATTAAAATATGGAGGGGGCCATTGGATTGCCCTCCTGGGCAAGGACCAGGTTGTTGTACTATTTATTGTAAAGGTAGAACTTGCTAGCATTACTGTATTACTTGATTTCACTCTAGCAATTTTAACATGGAGTGGGCCCTTTTAGGTCATTTTGATTCTACATATATTTATGTCGTTATTGTCTCACTTTACCATGCACCTTCGACGAATCACCAATCCGAAAGTTGCATGGAAGGCTGGTTTACTTTAATAATAATAATATTATTATTACTATTATTATTATACAGCAAGAAAAGGTCCATCATTTCAACCCTCTTGTTATCAAGCAAAGGGGCCGGCACAAGGAAAGTGGGACCCAACCTACTCCATTGTCCTCTAGTGAAACACAGGCCTTTCCCGAGTACGGTCTATGTAGTTGAAGCAGGTGCCCAATATGCCAAGTTACGCCCCTAGAGAACAACTAAACTTAGTGGAGGTATTACACTGAAGGTGATTTAATCACTAACCCCCAACCACATACAATCAAATTAATTTGTAGTCTCTCTCTCTCTCCCCCTGCGTGACAATCTGGACAAAGGGACAAATTCTTCTGAGATAAAAAGCAAGAGAAACACAAGTCTCAGCTTTAATTTTTCTCTTTGCTAAACAAAACTCTGATCAACCATAAAACCAGATTTATGTGTAACCGCTGCAACCCTTTCTAATATCTCTCTCTAAGAACTTGAAGCAGTCTTGTGAAAAATTAAGGCTTGTGGATATTGAATTCAAATAGCTTCTGTGGTTCTTAAATAGAATCGCTATTCTAAGTAGAACAAGATGATCAATTCTCTCTGTGGTAGCATGGGGAGTCTGAAGAGTGAGTTGGGGAGTATAAAGAGTGAGATAGGAAGCCTAAAGAGTGAGAACTCAAGCACCAAACTGCACCCAGCTTCTCCAACTGAATCAGTGTCGGAAGCAAAGAAGACGACTCTATCGTCGGATTTTGAACAGACCAGCTTAACCCCGTCAAGCTTGACTTTTCCACCACTCAAATTCGAAGTGGATGGAGATACTGAAGTCCAGTCACCGGATTACTCACTTTGGGAATCATTTTTCTCCGATCAACTCGAAGGGGACTTCATGATCTCATCACCGGTGAGGAACCTCAACCTACCCTCCCCACAAGCATCAAACTACAACTACGCTCAGGCAATGCATGGGCAGAGTCCTATGTGGTGCTCTCCGCCTCGCATGTCTTCTCCACTAGGACCTAAAGGCAAGGGGCTGAGTCTGAGACTAAGCCCACTACATAAGTTTTTCAACTCTCCAAATAACCAGTATATGCAGCCAGAGAGCCTTTCGCTGCCAGCTCTTGAGAACTTGCTGGATGATTATGAGAGAGATGATGATTTCCTATCCTATTCAACTGCACAATTACAAACCTCAGGTGTTGGACATGGAAGCTCATCAGATTGTTTTGATGCACTGACAACGGTCCCAGTACTGTTGGACTGCTTAACATTACCGAACTCTTCAAGGTTTTGTGATCAATCGGTAGGCGAAACATTGAGCCAAGGATCACAACTGAATCAAGCGAGTGATATTTACCAGATGTTCTCCATTGTCACCCCACCACTAGCGGAACAATTACAACAAGAGCGGCAGACCGAAAAGAAAGAAAGGCAACAGCAGCAGCAGCAACAACAGCCACCGGCACCACCACATCATGGACGAGGACAACCACATAACATTAACCATAATTTGATGGTGCCTCTCTCTCTTGAACCTGAGCAGGTAAATCTCTCTCAACCTCCCCTTCTAGCTTTGGTCATTGTAGTCCTTTTCCATCATACTGAACTCCTTGAGCCAATTCCACGTACATGTCATAACTTGATCTTGGGTTATGGCATATTTCATGAAGGAAAGCAACCATTTTGACTTGTTTTGATATGATTATATAGGAACAAGACAGTGGGCTGCAACTGGTGCACCTCCTTCTTGCCTGTGCTGAAGCAGTTGCCAAAGAGGACTACATGTTAGCAAGGAGATACCTCCACCACCTCAACGGAGTGGTCACGCCACTTGGTGATTCCATGCAACGTGTTGCCTCCTGTTTCACTGAAGCCCTAAGCGCCAGACTTGCCTCAACCCTAACCACAAAACCTAGCACCTCAACCCCTAAACCCTTCACTCCTTTCCCTCCAAACTCTCTAGAAATTCTCAAGATTTACCAAATTCTTTACCAGGCTTGCCCATACATTAAATTTGCTCATTTCACTGCCAATCAAGCAATCTTTGAAGCGTTTGAAGCCGAAGAGTGTGTACATGTTATCGACCTTGATATCCTCCAAGGTTACCAATGGCCTGCTTTCATGCAAGCTCTAGCTGCTCGACCAGGCGGGGCTCCATTTCTCCGGATAACTGGAGTGGGTCCCTCGCCGGAGGTGGTGAGGGAGACCGGCCGGTGTTTAACTGAACTAGCTCACTCTCTCCATGTGCCATTCGAATTCCACCCGGTTGGCGAGAAACTTGAAGACCTAAAACCACACATGTTCAACAGACGGGTTGGAGAGGCTCTAGCGGTTAACTCAGTTAACAGGCTCCAACATGTTCCTGGTAGCTGTCTTGGGAATTTATTAACCATGATCAGAGACCAAGCGCCAAATATAGTGACCATTGTTGAACAAGAAGCAAGCCACAATGGGCCCTACTTCTTGGGTCGGTTTCTGGAGGCATTGCACTATTATTCAGCTATTTTTGACTCATTGGACGCGACATTTCCAGCAGACTCGGCTCAGAGAGCAAAGGTAGAGCAGTATATATTCGCGCCTGAGATAAAGAACATCATAGCGTGTGAGGGGCAGGAGAGGGTAGTGAGGCATGAGAGGTTGGAGAAGTGGAGGAAGATCATGGAAGGTAAGGGCTTCAAAGGGGTGGCACTGAGTGCAAACGCGGTGACTCAGTCGAAAATATTGTTGGGTTTATATTCATGTGATGGTTATAGATTGACAGAGGACAAGGGTTCCTTGCTCTTGGGTTGGCAGGATAGAGCCATACTTGCTGCTTCCGCATGGCGATGCTGATCATCTGTCTTATTCTTGAGAAAATACCCACCTACTTGTTTCCATCCATCTGTATGTGTTTCATCGTCTCTTTCCTTTCTCTTACTTTTTTTTCGGCTTTGGTAGATCACCCTCTATTGTTTTGTCTGAGTACTCAGGTGAGTACACCGGTTCGTTCAAATATCACACAAGAGTCGAAAAGAAAAAGGAAAAGAAAGGAAATCAATCAAAGAAATTCAAATTAATTGTCATTTTATTTGAACTTCAAATTTAATCTTAAAATTTAGTCAATCTAACATTAATCTAGATTAATATTATGTACCATGATATCTCTATATTAAACTCTGAGAATAACAAAAAAAAAGTGATTGTTTTGTTGTATACATGATCTAACTTATCTGGTTTCCGTCCCTAATGTCGTAACTAGTGGATAGGCTTCCAGAAGTCGGTGGTTAGTAAAAGGACACTGATAGAAGATGCTGCACAACTAACTCTTGCTCGGTTTGAGATCGCGGCCTGATTCCATTTTGGACAATAATTCTATCCATTAGGTTTACGATTTGACTTTAAAATTTAAAACTTTTGTCGCCTACGATACAAATTTTTTTTTTTTTTTAATATCTGTTTGCCAACAAAAAAAAAAAAAAAAGATAACTTCGAATAGATCTTAAAAAATATAAATTTTAGGGTCATATTAAAAATTTTGAGTTCAAATTTTTTGGGATGTTTGTGATTGCTCTTAAAAATTTAAGATTAATTTTAATATTTTTAAGATCAATTGCAAAAAGTTATATATGACTCCAAACATTTGTATAAAAACTCCAATAAATTGTACATGGCGGTACAGTACCAAAAAATTGAATTACTCTATGTTTATAGTGAGATTCCATCTTCTTCTTCTTCTTTTTTTTATCTATTTCAGGCCTTGATAAATAACCTTTACTATATTTAAGAGGCATGTATGTAAGTTCTTATTAATAGATGATGGGTGATCTACCAATAAGATAAATGGTAAAAAAAAAAAAATCAATATAGGAAGGATCTGGACCATCAAACCAGTAGCTAAAGACTATCATTTAGACTACCTGTTAGCTTCTGTGAAAAATACTATTGGAACATGATAACTTCAACTAATATTATGATCTAATGATTTGTGAGTTGATATGCTCTCTAAGGGCGGAGCCAGACAACTTTTTCAATGGGCAACTTAAACATATAAATACTAGTCATAATATATGTCTAAAGGGACAATAAAATATAAAATTTGAGTGTCTATAAAATCTATCCTACTATATTAAATAATAATTTTATTTTTTTTCATTTATTTGATTACATCATTTAAAATTTATTTTTACCCATTATATTTTTGCAAATATCGACAAAAATATGTAATCCAATACATTTTCTCGATATATGTATACTATCGTATATAAATAATGTCTAAAATAAAAATTATGTTAAACTACAAAATAATCAATTATTAAATAATTAAATATGGAATAGAAATAGATGATGATATGGTTTTGGAGAGAAAAATATGTATGTGATAAAGTTTCAAATATCTAGTTGTTTTATTATATAGATTTAACTTCAAATGTTGACACTGTTTTTACCAAAACATTATTTCATTAAAAGAACGTCAATCAAAGATACAACCTTAATATACGAGAGAAATACAAAAAAATCAAAAAAAAATTGTTATGAAGTTATCATCAATAGAATTTGACAAAAACTTTTTATCAATAGTTGATTAAAAAATTAATCTCTCTAGTCAGACATAACTTAATATGCATTATTCATGCAGAATACATCAAAGTAGTTTAGAAAAATTGAACAATTTTTAACAGAAATAATTTAGAAAAATCAAATCTTCCACAAGTCAATTAAGTTAATCTAGGGTCAAAAAAAAATTAACTAAATCAATCTTAGATATAGGAATAACTTAATTCATTACGATCAATTTACTCAAGCCTAATCAATTGAAATGATTTAATCCAAAAAATAATTTATAATACATAAATTCTAAATATAAAAATCCAATTATTTGAAAACTCTAATCACTGGCCCAAAAATTAAAACATATAATAATGATCGAAATCAAAGAAATCGTTCATGGTTTACCTCCTGATAAACCAATTTTAAAAGAATCTCTTAAGCTCTTATCCTTCTAAGTTATCTTTCCAATTGATCTTGACAATAACAATTGAAGTCGAAAATAGAAAGATACCACCGAAGAGGGAATAAAAAACTAAGGAGAACGAATTTCCAGTGTAGAGCTAGAATAAAGAGAGAGCCTAAGGAACCATGAACGTCGAACAGAAAAAGATCACAAAGAAGATGGACGGAGTTTTCACCGGAACAAAGGAAACAGGGACCTGTGCCCGGATAAAGTAACTTTTTATTTTTGCCAACGTTTAAAGGAACCCCACATATTTGAAAATATACATTACTATCGTTAAGTTTAAAAGTTTTTCAATGGGCGCAATCTTTAACAAATTCTAATACTTCAAAAAATTTCAACTACACCCCAATATTTTTTCAAATTCCAATGAGGGCAGCTGCCCCCACTCCAAATCCGCCCCTGATGCTTTCAATAATAAAGTTTAATTGCTATAATTAAAATAATATTATTAGAGCATAGTAGCTAGTGCCAAAAGCTTCAAACTTTAAGTGGTTATAGCAGAATGTACCAATACCTATATAAAAAGGATAGTCATTTTCATCACCACCACTCAACCTTATCATGTGTACAGTTGCCATTTGGTTCTTAGCAAGGATAAATTTTGAGTGCTCCATGTTTCTTAAGGAACCATTTACCTTATGTTTTGGAAAATTTTGACATAAGTAAGATCTGTAGTCATATTAGCTAGTTTTGATGTACCATTTTCCTAATTTTTTTTTTTAAAAAAAAATCATACCTAATGTGTTGAGCTATAAAGCATTTTTCTTCCCTTCATCTCCTCCCAACAAATGAACTTTTAAGGGATGATTTTGTAAGCAACATTATTTATATAACTAACCACCTCTGACAAACCAAATCAATATTTTCTTCTCCGAAAATTATATCCATCTATTCTACAAGATAGCCACGCCCACGCCCACGCCCACGTCCACTGCAAATTTGATGTCATTTCTGGATAGTGATTTAATCAAAGGAGTTTTCCGGCATAAATGATATTCTACAAGACTGCACTGCATATCTGTATTTAATACTGCAGCTTGTTGTCTTGTCCTTCTTGCTGCCTGGCCGAAACATGCTCCACCAACCTGGCTGTATAAAAGGTGTGCACATAAATGTTTCCATAATATTTTGAAAATATTTTCAAGGAAAATAAATTAAAATTTTATTTCCACAACATTAATTGAAACACTTTGAAATATACAAATTTTAATATTCAATCAATGATTCAAAACGAAATTTAGTTCGCAATGGATTAATAAATCTTTCGCGAGTTTTTAGCAAAACTCAAACCATTTAGATCACTATCATCTGACCATTTCCTTCCTTGGTCTATTTTATGGATTCCCTCTCCAGCAGCTTCATAATCAGCCGTTTCCAAGCATTTTTCTTATTTTATAGAATTTGATTCTGAAGTTCTCACACCTTGTTCTTATTATTCCCATGTCACCGCGTATTGACACCAACACTCTTTTCTGTGATCAGGGACTTGCATGTCTGAATGGGCGTGCTGAGGTGGGCAAAAACAAGTGGATGAAAGTTTGACAACTTAGTCCTATATGGGAAGGGGCAAGCATACTTTCACGTTAAGTGAATTGAAAATGTTCTGAATAAGACTCTGGCTGCTGGAGATTCGGTTTAGTCCTTTAGTGCACAAATCTATACTCAATCCGCTGGAGTCCTTAAACGCAACATACCGAAACATGAGTCAATTATCAAAGCTAGAGTTAGATTTTATCTGCAACATTGGAAAAACTTGATTTCTGAATAGCCACAAAAAAAAAAAAAAAAAAAGAAAGGGTGGGAGGGGATGAGCACTAACTACTCCAATTTCTCAATTATGTCAGCTAGATTTGAGCAATAAGTGATGCAAAAAGAGGATGCAAATACGTAAGAGAGCGGAAAGAAGTAAGCCACAATCACAATCATCACCCACACCTGACCCATGTCTGCATGACAATCACCACAACCAGTATTGACCAAACATAATGAACAGCAGTTCAATTCATCAACCTACAACAACTTGGTTGCAGAACAAACAATAGGTTTAAGGCTTTGCAGCACTACAACCAATAAACACCCCACGTGCATTGTTGACATAAAGCTACCCGTATAAGCCCTTTGCAGGGTGTCGAGCCATAACCTCTGTATTAATATTGTAAAAAAGCTGCAGCTACAAATTTACAATCAAGCACCAAATTCATAAAATGCGCATACATCATAATCAACATGCACGGTTACACAGGCATGCCCTCCAACAAACATGTAACAATGTGGTATGGTACTGTTTACAAATTATTGTGTTTCCCCACAACTCAATTGTTTCCCCACAAGATTTAGTCTGAATCAAACTTAACTCCCTTACAATATGGAACATGCACAAATGCTTTTCTTTGGAGACTCATCAACCTTCTTTTCTGTTTAGATAACAAAAAAAAAAAAAAAAACAGCAACTTTCAGCAACTCAAAGAAAACAGACAGGGTTAATTGTGTTACACATCACATTTTTCTTTTGGCAGTGATTCATCAGTAACAACACTGGCACTTAAACTAATATTGAATTCCTAATTGTATGCTCCTCCGTCAGTATTACAGATTCTAATAACTTTGTTTTACTGTGTCAACAATGATATAAAACATCGAGCACGATTAAAATTTCTAATTTCCATTATCGCACCATCCATTATACAGCTGGGTTAAGTAAATAATTTTATGTTTATGGTACAAAACTTGACAGTAGATTGAGACATATTCACCTTCCCCAACCTCCAGGCTCGGCCCACCAAAAAAAAAAAAAAGGAAAATCTGTTGGTGAGGAAAAGTAAATATTCAATTATACCATCATAATGTCTGTGGTGGTGAGATTACTAAAATCATATAAAGGCAGTGTCACAAGAATAACAGCAACAGAAAGACACCCAGAGGATAAAATACCAAGATGAGAGAGAACCTCAGCAAACTTGATATTCCAATAACTCATGATGGGAAGCAGTGCAATCAAGACACAGAACAGTGATGAACACCCTTATCAAGAATTGCTTATCCTAAGACTTACAAGATGCTCACACTAATACCTAAAGTCTTAAGAAAAGGAAACAAGAATAAATGAATAGCAAGATATAACAGACTGGACATGGCCCTGAAGAATGCACTGTCACAAGACCCATAACTAACATTACACAGGTATCATATAACACTTAATAAACTCAAATCAACTCAATAAATAAAAACTTATCTCTATAATGCTTTGATTAGCTCAACAAATCCTTCTTCTCATTTGGCACTACCTAGGATATCATCCTCCAATAAAATAGCAAGACAGACTTTCCCTCATCTGGGCCTTAGCAATCAAGCAAAGAGAGAGAAGCTTCTTTCTTGGACCAACTTGTAACATTGTCCAAGTCCAAAGAAAAAAGAAGCTCCACATGCCAAAGCTTGGCATAGGCCTCTCGTGATTGGAATTGAGTTTTTTTCTTGTCCAATTCTTAATATTGATTTAGCAACTCATTTGCCCACCAACAATGTTGGTCAGCACTCAAATAGTAAAGTTTCTCTAAGAAAATAGAGCAACCACAAGATCACAAACTAGAGAAAGCCAGACTAAATGATTAAAATTAGAAATCAAACATGCTTGCAAGTTACGGATACCGAATGTTTTCCTGATTAGCCAGTTACTATAAATTTAGAGCATCTCCTTCACCACGAACAGCTGTCCCCAATAACTAAATGATCACTATAGTAACCCAAGAAAGAGAATTCTCATATAGTCAAAGATGGGAATGCAAATAACTAGATTTTATCAACCTGACTGAAAGAATGAAGGTGTCTATGTTGTCTATAGTCTACGCACAGAACACAGTTAGGAATCTCCACCTCTAACAAGATGCAATATTGTTTCATCTTTCTTCTTCTGGGAGTCCAATAAATCAAGTTAAATATATTAGTTCACATTAAATGCCGAACAGTAACTTGATAACACACAAAATACAAGAATGGAATATGCAAAGAATAACAAATCACCACATTGGGGTTTGGGACAGAACTTTGGCGCTTTGTGGCTGACAATTGGACAACTATAAGCAAACTGATTCACCCAATGCATACAGTTCAACTGTTCTGTATGCAGCATACAGCCTACATTAATGATTCAATTGCATATAGGCTATAGCCTAATTTCCTTGCATGCCACAACAGAGAGTTAAAATATGGGAATGCATACAACATCTCACTGAAACATGTATAAGGTGAGATGGAAACTACCTGTTTTTGCTTTTGCCAAAGACGGCTGTACAACAGCATGCATGGTGATTATCCCTTTTGGAAGGTCACCAAAAGGCGTTTTGCACTGGCCAACGGTCTTGTTGTTTTCCAAAATTTTCCCAGCACTTATCAATTTCACATCATTCGCTGCCTTCGGCACAATTTTTTTATCTAAAACAAAATTAGAATAGGAATCACAAAACCAAGCAGCTAAAAGGAGGAAGAACACAAACAAGAGGATGAAAGAAGAAGATGTGGGTTGCCAATGAAATTTAAAAGCCCTTATCCTACTTTCTAGCATGACAAAGAGCACAACAAATCAAGGCTGAGGAAGTTAAATGCTCATCATTCCAGGATGAGGTGAATTCAGGACTTTTGATGCAGAGAGATTATGTTATTTATTATATTGGGGCACAAGGACAAAAAACTGGAAATTCTAACAACCCTGTCAATATGTGACTATAAAAAAACTGATAAAGCAGCAAGGCAATGATTACACATGATATATCTAAATGAACATTTGTATCACATCCATAATCCTAATAAAACACAATAAAAAACTTGAGGCATGGCCACAATAGTTGAACGTAATTACATGATATAATACAACAACCATAGATTGCCGACTATCATGATGCCTTCTCAACTCTTCGGATAAATATTGGCAGCAAGAACAGGTGGTTAAAACATGAAGATATTTGGCAAAAGAGAATGCTAAAAGCATCAAGCAAGTCCCGAAAATGATAAGTATTCAACTCTACAAAGGTGTCTGCCAGAACGAGCATAAAAAATACTGAAGAGAAATCAGAGTCTTAAGATATAGAAAAGTAACTACAGCTGCATTACTATCAAATTCCCGCTAAAATTGTTAGTGGTCAGAGTTGCAGCCGTAGCTTATAGTAGCCTATAAAGCCTAGGCCTTTCACACCTCTAGCACACCCAACTGTTCCATGTTACACTTCTTTAAGATCCTCCAACAATTTAAACATCCTGGTTAACATACAGCTCAAAGAACCCTCCTCTCTGCATCCCCCACTACATTCGACCTTTACTTGAAAATGTGAAAGGGCCTCGGCCCACTCCCCAGCACGATAAAAACATAAATTGATCCTGCACTTGGCTTTGCCACCGGAGAAATCTCAGAGAAGTGCCCCTCCCAAAATAGTGGGATTCAAAAACTATTTCTTGTTATCAACAATATGTCCTCACCACAAAATCATGTGAAAATCCATTCTATCGAAGAAACAATAGTCTGACAAATTATCGTGGCAAAAAAAACCAAGAAACTAACCTCATAAAGAACCCTCCTCTCTGCATCCCTCACTACATTCAACCTTTACTCGAAGCCCTTGGCCTGGAGCTACATTCTCAAATGTGAAAGGGCCTCTGCCCAGTCCCCAGCATGATAAAAACATAATTTGACCCTGCACTTGGCTTTGCCACCTGAGAAATCTCAGAGAGGTGCCCCTCCCAATATAGTGGGAGTCAAAAACTATTTATTGTTAACAACAATATGTCCTCCTAACAACAAAATCATGTGAAAATCCATCCTATCGAAGAAACAATAGTCTGACAAATTATCATGGCAAAAAAAAAAAAAAAAGAAACCAACCTCATAAAGGAATTCCTACAGTTTTTCATAAGATTTCAATTTATGACCATAATCATTCATATCATTAGTAATTGTCGTTAAGTCCCCCAAAAATATGTTTAAGGTACACCTAGGCCCAACTAGAAGAATTTGAAGAGAAGCACCTCCAGTCTTATGGGCAATTATTCCACCAATATTGCAATATTTACAGTGTACATGGTGATGGAATTTCAAGCCATTTTTACAAGGCAAGCTGAAATTTTGCACTGATGGATGCTCCATTAGCAATCAAAGTCAGCTTAAATCCGGAGGCATTTTGCGGATCTTTGAATAAATCTAATATTGACTATTTTTAAGCTGGCAGGTTCTCGGCTCCTCTATTAACGTTTCCAAGAGCTTCCTTGACAGCTATGGACATTGATTCTCTGTATGATGGTGTGGATTAGATCTGACAATTCACACACCTGACAATGTGGGTTAAAATTATCTTTTTTTCTATATAAAAGAATAATTTATTAGAGAAAGGGACAGCACATCCTCAAAAGAAAATAAAATCAAAACACATATCAAGGAGAAACCATAAGCGAAAAAATTAATGCAGAGCCGCCTTCCAATTCCAATGGAGATTTGACAAAGACAACCCTCTACAATTCCCTGGTGGCTTTGGTCCAAAGTGAAGCCATGAAACCAATTCTTTCCCCCACTAATTGGAAAGGAAGATAATGATTATCAAAATACTTCCATTCCTCTCCTTCCATATCACCAAAGAAATGATATCAATGCACAATTTCATAATACTTTTACTTCCTTTACTTTTCCAAAACCTCAAAACTTAATCTACAACATTTTTTCTGCTGTAAAAGGCCAAACCCAAGCATCACCGGTCAGCAATAATGATTTATTTCACAAGCCCCATACATAAGCATTCAACTTTCCACTACTCAAACAAGCAAGACAAATAACTGGCCTCATGGCTGTATAGAGTCTCCAAATCTGCAACATATCATTAGTGTTCGTATAATTAAGGAAAACAAACCAAACAAACGCCCTAATTTTTATGTAACTTTGACTTTCCAATAAAATTAGATGAGGAGAAAGACTTGGTGTTCTGGGGGGCTAACAAAACGTGGGTAAAAAGATTTGCAAGAGAAAGTTTTAAATTTATACATGGTCCAAAATCTACCATCATGAAAAAACAATGGCGGAAATTAGGGAGAATGTGAAGCAAAAAGTCAAATCGGCAGCTTCCAGTCATTCAGATGTCTAAAGAAATGAAAATTCAAAGTATAAGAGTCCGTATCTCTCAGATCCATCATCCATCTACAACTTTTTACCGAGTTGAAGTAAGAAAAGAAGGGAAAACCTGTGAAATGAACTTCCAAGTGCTCATATGGGTTACATTGTGCCCTGATTTAGTATCCCAGTAATTCCTTTGAAGGTCATACTTACCCCAAATTATCTTATGCCAAAAGGAGTTAGGCTCTAAAAAGAACATCCATAACCATTTACCTATGAAAGATGTATTGGGTGCTTAGAGCTACAGGAAATAGAAACTAACTCTCAAAAAAGACTAGAAGCTGTCATCTTGCAAACATTTGAAGAACGCTTGTGCATCATGGAAGGAACAATAAGGAATGTTAGGGTGCCATTAGTATGCCCTCTTTTCATGTATTTAAGTTCCACTTCTACGCTCATATTGCATTTTATCCAGGCAAAAACAACCAGTGACTTCAATATTTATTTATTTAATTTGGTTCAATTGAAGGCAGTACAAAAGGAAATTGAAGCAGAAAAAACAGACAATAAAATAAGATTTTTAGAAAAATACAACTCAAGATAGAGTAGAATGCTATGTCCCGGATTTATCGCAATGAATGATTACATGAAGTAACTATAGAAACTCAAACAGAATTTCAAAACAAAACTAAAGGCCAATAAAGTTTTCAAATAGACATCAATGTTCACCCATCAGAAGAATGGGAAAAACTAGACAAGAATTTCAGCGAATGATAAGAGGTAATCTGCATTATGAATTCCTTGATTACCAGTGGATTACAGTAATCAAGACTCGAACAAGGTGGAGCTGCAGAAAATAAAATAGACAATATGCTTGATGATTGTAACAACATAACCTGGTTTCTGAATCCCCAGATTATCAGTGGATTACAAAAGCCTGACTCATAAAAAGGTGGAGTTGCAATTAGTGCAAGGCCAAGGCATTTGTTACATCAAGAACTGAAATATATTCAAGATCAATTACAAACTCCGGAGTTTTCCCCTCCGAATTTAAAGAAACAAAACCTCACGCAGTATAATTCTGAATCATCTAACATGGCATCAAAGAATTTTCTCTCCTGGGACATATTTGTGTAAGGAACTAATATAAGGCATACACTGCATAACTTATAGAAAGGTGTTAAAAAAACTGCTAACCTTTGGGCCACTCAGCAACAATTCTTTCCTTGAGCATGGCCACAGTGGCGGCCGGCGAGTATCGAAAGGGGCCGATGTCGGATCCATCATACAATCGGAACTTAAGCTCTACCAAGTCTTCCTCCGGCATTTGCAAACCCCAATCAATCAATCAATCAATCTGACGTAATAGAAGGCCTCCGATCAATCACAACTCCCACCAACCGCAATTATTCCTCTCCACAAATCACCTTCATTTCAACACACCAACCTTAATTTAAAAAAAAACGTATATAAAAGTAAATAACAGCTGAGATTGATATAATTCCAGACACATATAGTTGAATAATTATACCAATTCAATGCCGATAAAGAATTGGACAATACACACGGTAAAAACAAATGTAATCTAGCTTTCGAGAGTTTTTTCCTTAGGGCGGGCGGGCGGGCTGGAATTAACAAATAAAACAATACTACAGCAAAGTTCAGAGAGAGAGAGGGGAAGCGAGGAAGCCTAGGGCCGATCTTGAGGCTCACTGTTGAGAAGTGCGAGCTTCATTATTATTCTGATTTTATTTTTGTTGGCCAGTGTTTTTCGCTTTTTATTATGCAGGGGAGGGCGAGGGGAGAGTGAGATTTGGAGTTCGAATCCTGTCAGTGAAATCAGAGAGAAATTGTCAGTTACTAGTAGGCTAGCTACTACGATTTAGCCGAATTGGTTTGACCCACCCGTCGTCCTAACCAGAAATGCATGCGATGCGATGCAATGCAACTTATTATTAAAACTTAATTAAGCCTTATTTATCTGTCTGTCTGTCTGTCTGTCCTAATACCAGAAAGAGAGAGAACTAATTGCTGTGGCCCAACTTTTAAAATATCACCAATTTGTTGTCCCTCTATTGAAATAACAGCTGGTGGGTAGAGAATAACATCAACTTATCATGGGTGTCACTGTTATATCACCCACTCTTTTTTATTATTATTTCATACTAAATCATATCATATAGATAGACAGATAGTTAGTGCAACCCACTCACTCCTGGACAGAAGAATGCATGAATCATTTATTAAGGACCATATATTAAAACTGTGAATGGAAAAAGTGTTTCAAAGTTCTAAATAGGGAGGTCGGTAGCTGGGCCAAAACCCGTTCTACACATTAGTGGGCCTCCAAGTCCAACCAATTAGAGCCCGGGAAACAAGTCAATGATCCAATGGTTGAGGTCCGTTATCAATTTCCCGCCATTAGTTGTAAAGTCCAACAGAGTTCTAATCAGGCGGCCATTGACAGGAGGTCTTGAAATTTTGATTTCACATTTTGGGAAGGAAACATACTTTTACTTTTACTGATTATCGATTTTTAGTCTCTAAAAGACAACGATTCCATAGGTACAACAGCTTGGGGGTAGATTTAGGGGTAGGAGATCCCGATCCCACTCCCACTCCCAGTCCCACGCTCACAGCCACCAATGGCCAGTGATCAAATTTCTAGTAATAAACCAACCCAGCAACACCGATAGGTGGTGGGCCTGGACTGGACTACATGTCTGATTCCTCGACACAGACGTGGCAGCATGGTGTTCCTTAACCGTTTCTGTTGGCCATACTATAAACAAAAAAAAAAAAAAAAACAGTTAGGCATGGCACATCAAAGGTAAAGCTAGTCAGATTAACTACCCAAGCATGGCCAAATATTATATAGATATATAACTGCACGGGATAGATCCTGCAATCTCGTAAGGTAGCAATCCCTTGACTGGCAAACCTGAAAAAACGGGGTTAGAAGAAAGGGGGTCAGGCGTGAGCTCAGTCAATCCCCTCCGAAGCTTAAGTCAGTAAGATCAAAGGGATGTTTCTTAGTCAATGAGCTATGGTTTGATTTTGCGTACCTTTGTCCATTTTTCTTAGGGATATTTATACCTGAATTAACAATGATTGCTCTAAATCTTCAGTCCCATCTGGACATCTCACATCTGACCCACCATCCCTCGTGCTGTGAATGCTTTCCCTTTACGCCTCCTCGAATTGAATGCTCGGGGAATGGTATAAATGTTTGGCCGCAAGCCGAACATTTATACTACAAGCCGAGCAGCCCAATTCAAGAGGTCGGCGTCTGACACCAACAGGGCACGGACTAATTGGTGGATCAGAGAACTCAGGAGAACCAATCACGTTGTTTCGGCGCATCAGTCATTAATGCTCCAGTCATCATGACAGTAGGCATAGACTTGCAGAGAGTAGTTGGTGGCAGCCCCGCATTTATTTGTCTTGTCACTATCACTCATCTCGTCATAAATGCGAAATCACATCATTTTAACTATGATGTCAGCTGTTGTATTCGGCCACTCTGTGTCACCATGCCTCGGCTCACCCCCTCGGCATCTTCTAGACATCCTAATGACTTTATTGGGCCACGTGTCACCCTGGGAGTTGAGAATCCACACAAGAGTCCCGCCAACTGCCCCCCAGTCGCAATCCCTTACGCGGTGCTCGACAAGTGGAGTGAAGGGATTGGAGCTCTATCACCATGCCTCATTAACGGTGACGGTTGCTTGCACATTTGGTGCCGCCCCTTTCAAATGCCCTAATGATGAGCCAACTCCTCGATTCTCGCTCCTTATGAGGTACTATAAATAGGGGGTTTCTCTCCCTTCTAAGAACTTTTGCATCCTTCATCTCTCCTCAGCAATCAGACCCCGAGTGCTCCCCTGTCCTCTGAGTTTCCCTGGTTCCCCGAGCTCTCTCTGAAGACCAACCTCCTGTAAGTACTTTCACTTGAGTTTTTTCTTTCTCCGTTTCTTCTAAATTTCGCCCTCTTAGCTCTCACTGATGGCCAGAATTAGTAGACCTAGGGGGGACACGTCTGTTAGGGCCAGTTCTACCCACAAAATGAGGAGAACCCAAGTAACAGACGAGAACATCCACACCTTTAGGGTCAGGTACCATATTCACGAGCCTGTCTTCACCTTTCCCTTCAACCCTACTCGTTATAGGAGGGACATGAAAAGTGAGGACATGATGTCTTTCTGGACGAAGGCCATCATGGATGGAGGGTTGACCTTCCCTTTCCATCCCCTGTTGTTGGGAATCCTGATGCAATTGAAGCTCTTTCCCCTTCAGTGCGGGGTTAACTTCTTTAGGATTGTGATGGACGTAGTCGCCTTAAACACTCAGCTTAGGATTAACTTGGGGGTAGACGAAATTTTATTCTGCTATGACCTAAGGCTAGTCGTCGGGGGACGATATTACCTCCAGACCCGAGATCCCTCGATGTATCTGGTAACCCACATGCCTGACTCGGACAAAGGGTATGTGGACGATTTGATCATGCTCGGCGGCGGTTGGGAGAAAGGGACCGGGGCCAAGTATGACGGATTGTACTGCCCCAAAGTGTCGAGGGATGAAGGTGTGTTTTTGTTCCGACTTCTTGATTTACATCTTTTTTTTAGGTCCGAGGGACATACTGATTTTTGCTTTGTTTTCGCAGAAGGATATCGTCGGGACACTGCTCAACCACCGAGGTCTCAAGTTCGATTCGCTGATCTGCTAAAGGTTTGGTCCTCGGACCTGGTTGAATGAGCGCGGCACACCCTCCTTGGCTATACGCCAACCTACAGCCGGTTCTCCCAGATCCCTCCTCCTTTTCAACCCTTCTGTTTGGAAAGATCACTCTTCGTCGGAAGAGGAAGAATTCGAGGGTGGTTTAGAAGAGGAGTCTTCGTATAACGCTATCGAGTCTCCTACACTCGACATGTTTAATCCACCAACTATCACTGCAGCAACCATGGAGGCCGCCGCCTCAGCAAGGAGAGCCAGGCTCGCAGGCTTGGCCGGGCCTTCCAATCCGGCACCTATCATTCCTCAACCTCATCCCCCTTAACAATTACCGCCGTCGTCGCGCGCGCGACCCAGAGATTAGGCCGTGCCAATCAAGCAGAGGGCCCAACCTCAACAAGTCCAAATTCCAGTAGACTGACAGAGGGACAGGCGTGCCCGAGAAACCGAACAACATGAAGAGCGTAGTGTAAAGCAGCGGCATGATGTCACCCCCGGGGCCCTCCATCTCGGGAAAGTGGGTTGGTTGGGCCGAGACCAGAAGCGGTCGGCCCGTTTTGGAAGCCGATTCAATCCTCCAATCTCCCGAAGTGGTCTTTGTTGTCGCGGGCATGCTTCAGTTTGAGGCCGACATGGCCATGTACAAGGGTTATTCGGACAACCGACTCCTGACGAGCACCCTCTAAAACACCTTGGTGGTAAGTTGATCGCCTCTCCCGAGTAACTATTGTTCCTCTTTGATCGTTTACTAATATTCCTCCTCTTCCAGGCTAGCCAGCAGGTGGGAGCCATCATCGAACGCTTTTGGGAATACAAGCAAGAGGCGAAGAACGCCGAGCGAGCCGCAGCCGCCAAGGACGACCATATTTTGAAAGTCGAGAGGACCCTCGGCAATCAGACCAAACACATTGTCGAGCTCATCCTCCAGTGAGACGCTATACATGCCGAGCTAAATGAGGCCAAGGCGGGCGAAGCTGCAGCGATGAAAAAGGCCGAGGAGTATGAGCTGCGCGTATCCTCCTCCGAGTCCAAGCTGCAAGAGTCCGAGTCTGTGATCAGCGCTCTTACTGCCAAAGTGGACTCCTTGATAGCAGAAAAAGCGGGAGAGCAGGAGAGACTGTAATCGGAGTGTCTGAGGGCGTGGTCGGCCATTCAAGACAAAATGGTCCCCGCTTTTGAGGAAGCCAAGAAGAAGGCTTTCAAAGAGGGTTGGGATGTCGCCCTTCACGCCTGTCACGTCGAGGTTGGGTCAGACTTGTTTGCCAAGCACAACTTTCGAAGCGAGGCCGATGACGAGGCCCTGAATGAACAAGTCCGCCCCAACCTCAGCGCCCCTGCCGAGGCTGAAAGGCCGGTGGGTGAACCCATCACACTCAGCGACGGATCTGATCAGCCTTTTCCTGCCCTTCCATCATTACCTTCGGCCGAGCCAACAAATGAACCATTATCTCCGCCCCCCATCATTAGTGGAGTGCATGACACCGAGCAGGACGAGATATCGGGGGCTGGAGATGGGTTACAGAGCCGATGAGGGGGCCACGGTGGGGAGGGAGCCGGTGATGAATGAATGAGCCGAGGATCTGAGCAGCTAGTCCATTTTTTGCAATTTTACAGCTTTGTACTGAGTTTTGTTAGTTTGTATGCCTGGGGACGCAAAGCCCTTTTCTATAATGAATTCTGATTTCCAATTAATATATTTTTCTCTGTTGACCGTATTTCTAGGAAACAGCCACGTGGAGCTCACTATTGGGTTTTTAGGACACGCGCGCTTGGCCCGTGTTTCTTTCGAGAGCGGTCTTACACCCCTCGGGGTCGTGCCCCCAACGACCGAGCGCTTGGCTTGTGTTTGTAGCACAATGAAGACTGAAACCAGATTTAGTAATAGTATTTCTTTAAATTTGATACATTCCATGGTCGAATTACATCGTCACCATCCATATTTTGCAAACGATATGCGTCAGTGCCCCCCACGGAGATTACCTTGTAAGGACCCTCTCAATTAGGACCAAATTTTTCATCAGTGGGCTCGCGCGTATTCCCTACCACTTTTCACAATACCAAATCTCCGACTT